GTCAATACGAACATGGACAACACCCAACGAGCCGAACTAATGCGTGCCATTGGCGATGGGGCAGACGATGACGACGAGGAAGACGTCGAGATAGTGTCTTGGGGAGCCGCAAAGTCGAGCACCGCTGCTGATGCCGCCAAGAAAAAGCAGACTTCCCTGGAAGCGTGGTCTCGCGCCGGCACAGGAATGGCCGCCTCTCGATCCGCATCACCGGCCGTGCCTCCTTCGTCGCTCACTAGCAAGGATGCGGCGTCGCAATTGACCCCTGGCCTGAACAAGCACCGGGCGTTGCTGGATAAGCTCAAGACGACGGCAGCGGCCAAACCCGACCAGGCAGCTCAGACGGCTCTTCTGGCCAACAGAGCAGCGATTCGCGACAAACGGGCGCGCGAGAAGGCCGAAATGGACAAGAGCAAGGCCGAGGCCGTGGCAAAGGCACGTGCTCTGCGCGTGTCCGTCAAAAGCGACCTCATGGTCGACTCGGAAGAGGACGACGCCGACGACGATGACGGCGACGACGACGGCATGGCGGCCCTTATCCAACAGAGCAAGAAGAGCGACCAGCTGATGGACGATGCAGTGCGCCGGCAGCGCCAGAACATGCTGCAAAAGCCCGAGCCCGTCAAGAAGAAGAAGCTGCAGCGGTCCGCCAAGGACATGCGCGCCCGCATCATCCCCAACATGGACCGCCTGCACCAGGCCATCCTCGAGTGGGACATCTTTTACGAGGGCAGCGATCCGCCCAACACGGGCCAGTGCGAGGCTGTAGCAGACGGATACCCGTCCCCTGCCGAGTACAAGCGCACCTTCTTCCCGCTGCTGATCAACGAAGCGTGGCGGTCCTTTGTGACGGCCAAGGACGAGAGCACGTCCAAGGCGTTTAGCATCAAGGTCATTACGCGCATCTCGGTCGACAATTTCCTCGAGGTGAGCACGGGCATGACGCTGCCGCCGAACAATGAGGGCGGGAATGGCAACGGACCCGGAAACGGCGACAGGGTGGTGAGCGAGGGCGACATTGTGCTCCTGTCCAAGGCGCAGAACCCGTTGACGGGCCGCGCCGAGCCGCACTGCCTGGCTCGTGTGTACAAGACGGCGTACAAGCGCAACACGGTCGAGGTGACGTACCGGCTCAACAGCCGTGGCAATCAGATAGTGCCGATATTGCTGCCGGGTGCCGAGCTGAAAGCTGTCAAGATTACCAACATGACGACGATTGAGCGCGAGTTTGCGGCTCTCGAGAGTCTCCAGTACTACGACCTCATGGACGAGGTGCTCAAGGCGACGCCGTCGCCGATGCTGAGCTTTGGCGACGCAGCCATCGACGACTTGGCGCGCAACTACGATCTCAACCGGGGCCAAGCGCTGGCGATTATGCACGGCAGGGCCAACGACGGCTTCACGCTCGTGCAGGGCCCCCCCGGTACGGGCAAGACCAAGACGATTGTGGCCATGGTCGGCGCGCTGCTGACGGGCACCATCAAGAACAATGCGGGCGCCGTGGCCATGAACCGACCAGGCAACGCAGCTGCCAACAACGACAGCACGATCAAGAAGCTTCTGGTGTGCGCGCCCAGCAACGCCGCCGTGGACGAGCTGGTGCTCCGTCTCAAGGCGGGCATCAAGGAGTCGACGGGCGTGACGCGCAAGATCAACGTGCTGCGCCTGGGTCGCTCGGACGTGATCAACGCCGGCGTGCGGGACGTGACGCTCGACGAGCTGGTCAAGGCGGAGGTGGCTCGGCAGACGTCGTCGACGATTACGGCCGTGGGCAAGGACGGCAAGCCGGTGGACGGCGCCGCCCCTGTGAGCGACCGCGACAAGATGCACCAGCGGGCGGGCGAGATCAAGGCGCAGCTCGCGGCGCTGTTTCCCGCGCTGGAGGCAGCGCGAAGCGACGACAACGCGGACCGGGGCAAGCTCAACCAGCTGCAGCGCGAGGTCGACCAGCTGCGGTCCGAGCAGCGGCGCATTGGCGCGCAGATCGACCGCGACAAGGAGAGCGGCAACACGTATGCTCGTGAGGCGGAGATTAAGAAGCGGCAAATCCAGCAGAAGATCCTCAACGACGCGCACGTGCTGTGCGCGACACTCAGCGGCAGTGGCCACGAAGTGTTCAAGAACCTGAATGTCGAGTTCGAGACGGTCATCATCGATGAGGCGGCGCAGTGTGTGGAGCTGAGCGCACTGATCCCGCTCAAGTACGGCTGCGCCAAGTGCGTCCTCGTGGGCGACCCCAAGCAGCTGCCGCCCACGGTCCTGTCGCAGTCGGCGGCGCGGTACGGCTACGACCAGAGCCTGTTTGTCCGCATGCAGCGCAACCGGCCCCAGGACGTGCACCTCCTCGATACGCAGTACCGCATGCACCCCGAGATCAGCCTGTTCCCGAGCCAGCAGTTTTACGAAAAGCGCCTCATCGATGGCGAGGGCATGGCCCAGCTGCGGCGGCAGCCGTGGCACGGCGTCGGCGACGGCGACGACAAGAACGGCAGCACGTCGCTGCTTGGCCCGTACCGGTTCTTTGACGTGGAGGGTGTGCAGGAGCGCGGCGCGCGGGGCCAGTCGCTGGTCAACGAGAACGAGATCCGCGTGGCGCTGCAGCTGTACAAGCGGTTCATGGGCACGTTTAGCAGCGGCGGCGGCAGGGCGTTTACGGGCAAGGTGGGCATCATCACGCCGTATAAGGCGCAGCTGTATGCGCTGAAGGCGCGGTTCTCGGACCAGTACGGGCCGGGCGTGCTGGACACGGTCGATTTCAACACGACGGACGCCTTCCAGGGGCGCGAGTGTGACGTCATCATCTTTTCGTGTGTGCGTGCCAGCCCGACGGGCGGCATCGGTTTCATGACGGACATTCGGCGTATGAATGTCGGCCTGACGCGGGCCAAGTCGTCGTTGTGGATTCTGGGCGACTCGCGTGCCCTGCGACAGGGCGAGTTCTGGCGGGCGCTGATTGAGGATGCCAAGGACCGCAAGCGGTACACCGGCGGCAATGTGCTGTCGTTGCTCAAGGCAGGGGCCCAGTCCGCCGGAGGAGGACGAGCAGGGACAGGCGCAGGGACAGGCGCAGGCGCACGGGCGGCGCACATGGGGCCCAAGGGGCCCAAGGCCAAAATCGAGGCGGGTTCCATCAAGGCGTCGCCCGCGTCCACCGCGCCCTCCAGTCGTAGCAGTAGTGTGAGTAATGGCCGTGGCGGCAGCAGCAACGCGGCGCCGCCGACAGGCCCCAAGGCAGATCGGGACCGTGCGTTAATGACGCGGGCAAAGCCACAGCGTGACGCCCATAGTGACGATGGCGACGACGACGACGGCTACTCCCCACCCGCGGCATCGTCGCCCGTTGAGTCGCGTGCATCAGCCGGCGGCTCTGGCTCTGGCTCTGGCTCTGGCCCTGGCCCTGGCCCTGGCTCTCTGCCCCGTAAAAAGCCGACGCCGGCGCTGCTGCCGACGACATACACTGTCGTTGACCGTCCCAGCCGGCCGCCGGCGGCGCCGTCCGATGTCGGCATGGGCGGCATCAATGCGCGCGGCGAGCCACTGCCCTATGGCGCGGCGTCGTCGTCGCGGCCCGTCATCGTGACAAGCAGCCCAAGCAACGGCCCTCCCAAGAAGCGGCCGCATGAGAGCAGCTCACCCAGCGACGGCCAGCCGATGAAGAAGGTGAGCCACGTGTCGATGTTCTTTCGACGTTGTGCCGCAATCTCGCCATGTCCCGTTCCACCTTTGCTAATATGATTGTCCAAGGCAACAAAGCCACCGCATCCGTCCCATCCGCCTCGCCGTCCGACGGATCCGTCGGCCATGGAGGTGTTGGGAATCGACAACAAGACGAGCGCCGGTGGTGACAGCAAAGCGCCGTCGCAGCTACCACCGAGGCCCGCGCCAAGAGTAGGTTTTTGTCGTTTCCTTTTGCTGCGACGCCGCTGCGATGCCGCTACTAATGAACATCATAGCCGCCTATGCGTCCACCCAAGAAACGGGCCGTTGACCCATTCATTAAGAAGAAGCCCAACAACAAGCGGCCGTGATCATGCCACGTAGATGGCAAGGACCGGCCGGCGAGCAGCATATCTGAAAAAAGAGAGACCGAGGAGGTCTCCAGTTCTCATCCATCATGTACGATTGCATCTGTTGCGATTATTTTTGTTTTTATTTTATTTTTACCTTTGATCCATTTGATGTCTGGACCAAAGGGCGTTTTTGCCTTTTTTGCATTGTCCTCATTTTATACGCATTTGGCAGGCATCCCAGGAATAGGTACTGGATGGAGTCAGGTCATACATAGCGTTTTGTATTTCGGGGAAATGTCATTGGCAAGTCATAGGAAATGAGGTAAAACGTTGGGAAAATAGCAATGAAACCAGGTCAAACTGTCTGCAGAGTCGGGGCAGTAAACATCACGTGCTGTGGCGGCGGTTTGAAGCTATCGCCATTCGCACTTACCCACTTACCGCATGACGCTCTTTGCGATTCACTGCGGCAGGAAAGCACGATAAGCACAATTATACCGCACTGCCGTCCAAGGCAAGAGCAACCAGCAGTGGTGCAATGCCCGACTGCCGCTGTCGCGCCCTGGTAGAAAATGGTCTAATACCATTGGCTGTTTTGGAACAGGGTGTGGGGGTGTCAGTCGACAGGCCCACTACAGCTATGGCGTCAGTATTTTAGCGGCCGCGGAGAAGGAAAAAAAAGTTTTGCGCCTGTGAGAGCGAACCATTTCCGGCGGCCGGTCGGTCGGTTGTTGCTTCTCTTTGATAACAGCCCTGTACGCTCATTGGTCGGCGCAAAACATTGGGCGACAGACTGTAAAGTTGTTAACGGCGTCGACGTCGCCGGTTTTCCTAGACGCTTCCCGTCCATTGCTTCCCTATTTATTGAGTGAGAGTGCTGCTGTGGTGATTCACTCGACGGACGACATTCGAGAAGCGGCCTTCCGCCCACTGACCGACCATTTCTTCCTCCTCCTCCTCCTCCTCGTCCTCCGCCCTCTTCTTCTCGACATGGCATACCACGCCTCGCTCCTCACGGCCGTCGATAGCCGCAGCCACGTCCACCTTGTCGTTGGCTCGAACCCGCTGGCAGCTGCCCGCTGCAACCAGAGCTTGGCCGTCGGCGCCATTCCGATCCTCGTGGCGCCTGAACCGCCCCATGGCGCCCTCCTACCTGCTGCCCTCCAGGTCCGCGTTGATGCCGGCGAGGTACAGTGGGTGCGCGATGCCGTCTGCACCCACGACCACCTCGAGACCCTCGGCCGCAAGGCCGTTGACGGTTTTGTCGACGCTGTGTTTGTGACCGACCACGACCCGTCCATCGCCGAGACAGTGTCGTCTGCCTGTCGCCGGCGACGCATCCCCGTCAACGTCGTCGACCGCCCCGATCTATGCTCGTTCTCGCTCTTGTCGACACACGCCGAGGGGCCTCTGCAGATTGGCATCACTACCAACGGCAGTGGCTGCAAGCTGGCCTCACGGATCCGGCGCGACGTGGCCGCCACATTACCAGCTGGACTGGGCGAGGCTTGTGCACGGCTCGGCGCTCTGCGGCGGCGCATCCAGGAGGAAGACAGAAAGGCGACCGCCGCGGCAATCGACAAGCCCACCAGTCCCTTTTTCGGCGAAGACGATTCCTACGACCAGAGCGCCACCTTCAACCAGCTGGTGCCATCACCGGAGACACGCGACGCCGGCGCCGCCGAGACGGCCGAGACGACCAAGACGCGACGCATGCGCTGGCTGGCGCAAATGTGCGAGTACTGGCCACTCAAGCGCCTGGCCGGCGTGACGGACGCCGACGTCGAGGCCCTGCTGGAAGCATATGCCCAGGGCACGGCGCTGCCGCGGGACGCCCCGGCCGTCGACGAGGAGGAAGCGACCGCGGCGCTCCCAGGAGCCGCCGGGACGACGGGCCACGGCCGCATCATCCTGGCTGGATCGGGCCCCGGCCACCCGGACCTGCTCACCCGCGCCGTCCACCAGGCCATCTTGTCGGCCGACGTCATCCTCGCCGACAAGCTCGTGCCCCAGGGCGTCCTCGATCTGATCCCGCGCCGCACCGAGGTCACCATTGCCCGCAAGTTCCCCGGCAATGCCGACGCCGCCCAGGAGGAGCTCATTGAGCAGGCCACGACCGCTGCCCGCGCCGGCAAGACCGTGCTGCGCCTCAAACAGGGCGACCCCTTTGTCTACGGCCGCGGCGGCGAGGAGGTGCTGCGGCTGCGCGCCACCGGCTTCCAGGACGGGCGCTCGCTGTTTGTGCTGCCGGGCATCACGTCGGCACTGAGCGGTCCGCTGTTTGCCGGCATCCCGCCGACGCACCGTGACGCCGCCGACCAGGTGCTCATCTGCACGGGCACCGGCAAGAAAGGCACGCCGCCCGCGCCGCCGGGCTACCGCGTGTCGCGGACGGCCGTGTTCCTGATGGCGCTGCACCGCATCACGGGCCTCGTAGCTGAGCTGACGGCGTACACTGCCGAGGAAGAGGAGAGCACGAACGTGGGCCGCACGCTGTGGCCAGCCTCGACGCCGTGCGCTGTCATTGAGCGTGCCAGCTGCCCGGACCAAAAGGTCATCCGGACGACGCTGGAACACGTGGCCGCGGCCATTGAGCAAGAGGGCAGCCGGCCACCCGGCCTCCTCGTCGTGGGCCGCGCGTGCGACGTGTTGTATACGCCCATGGCGGCGGCGGTGCGCAGCGACGGCAGCAAGCCGTGGTCGGTGGAGGAGGGTTTCGCCGGTCTTGATCTGGATGCTATCTCGCCCGCGGAGCTGGCAAGTCTGGCATAGTCGGTGTCGGCAATCGAATGGAAGCATTACGTGAGCTTCTTTTTTTCGTGTATACAACACAGAGCATGGGAGGGCGTTTTGGATACCACTTGGTTTGGGAGTAAAAGGAAAGCACACGCAGGGTCATGCATGCATAAAAGGAAGCGCGTTCCGTCTTCATATATCCAATGTATAAAATATAATGTCAAATTCAAAACCACCGTGTACGCAAATATGAGCTGCCTTTCCGGCAGACTGAGCTGTATTTCAAACACCTCGAGTACCATGTCTGACGTCTTATGCCTTGTCCTCGCCACCCTCCGGGTCCTCAAATAGCACCAGCGTCGTGCCGGCCTTGCAGATATCGCCTTCCTTGTGCGCCAGCTTCTTGATCACACCCGCCTGTGGCGACCGGATTACCGTCTCCATCTTCATCGACTCAATCACCACCAGCGGCGCGCCCTTCTCGACTGTCTGGCCCACGCTCACCTCGTTGCGCAGAATCTTGCACGGCATCGGCGCCACGACCGACGCGGCCGCCGAGCTGGCGTCCGAGCCGAGCACCTTGGCGTGCCAGCCGGGCGACACCAGGGCCAGGTCCGTCTTGGCGCCGCCCTGGAACACTGTCACGCGCACGGGACCCTCATCCAGGCCCTCGGGGCGCTGCTGCACCACCGTCGACGCAATGCGCGACAGCGGGAAGAACGACGTCAGCTTGGTCGTCGTGGCCTCGGGTGTCGGCTGACGAGAGGCCGTGCCGTCGAGCACAATGCCGTCAAACTCGCGTGTGGAGACGCCCGACACCTGCCCTTCGCCGGCGACGGGCTTGGTTGCGGGCTTCCAGGAAACGCGGGCGTTGTACAGCTGTCGTGCCGTCTGCGTCAGAGTCACCTCGACAACGTCGCCCGTCCGGTCGCTATACGCGTCCAGAACCGCAAAGGCAAAGCTGCGCTCTGACGTGCCGCCGCTGCGAATGTCACCAAAGCCAAACGGCTGGCCGTGCGGCTCGCCCAGCGACGAGCTGCTCTGCTCCGACGTCAACAGGGCCAGCGCCGCCTGCACATACACCTCTTCGGCCACCTCGTGCTTCTCAAAGAGCGTGTCGCGGTGCTTGTCAATGAAGCCCGTTTCGACGTCGGCCGCCTGGAAGGCCTCGGACCGGCACAGCCGCTTGAGGAACTCGATGTTCGTGTGCAGGCCCACGACCTCGTACTCCTCGAGCGCCAGCTCCAGCTTGCGGATCGCCTGCGCGCGGTCCTCGCCGCGCACAATCAGCTTGGCAATCATGCCGTCGTATGCTTGGGACACGGTGTCGCCCTGCACGAAGCCGGCGTCGATGCGCAGGTCCGACTCCTCGTCGTTGCTGGCCCGCGGCCGAGGCGTCGTCAGATGCACCAGCTTGCCCGAGTCGGGCATAAAGTTCATCTCGGGGTTCTCGGCGTAGATGCGCGCCTCAATGGCGTGGCCCCGCGCGTCGATCTTGGCCTCGATCTCGTCCTGCGTCATGGGCAGCGGCTCGCCCGCCGCCACGCGCAGCTGCCACTCCACCAGGTCCGTGCCCGTGACGAGCTCGCTGACCGGGTGCTCGACCTGCAGGCGCGTGTTCATCTCCATGAAAAAGAACTCGTCCGTGTCTCGGTCCAAAATAAACTCCACCGTGCCAGCACCGACGTACCCCACCGCCAGAGCTGCCGTGCGCGCCTTGTCCCAGAGGTCGTGGCGCAGCGAGTTGTCCAGGTCCGGTGCCGGCGACTCTTCCAGGACCTTCTGGTGACGGCGCTGCACGCTGCAGTCGCGCTCGCCCAGCGCCACGCACCCACCCTGCGTGTCAGCAAACACCTGCACCTCGACGTGACGCGGGCGCACAATGTATCGCTCCACCAGCATCACCTCGCCGCCCTCGCCAAAGCTCGCCTTGGCCTCGGCACGTGCACTGCGCAGCTGCGCCTCAAAGTCGGCCGGCGTGTGGACAATCCGCATGCCCTTGCCGCCGCCGCCGCGGACACTCTTGAGCAGGACCGGGTAGCCGACAGCGTCGGCATGGGCAGCCAGCTGCTCGGGACTCTGGTCGGTTCCGTGGTAGCCCGGCACACAGGGCACGCCCGCGGCCAGCATGATGGCCTTGCTGCGGGCCTTGTCGCCCATGTCGTTCATGGCCTTGCCAGGCGGGCCAACAAAGGTGATGCCGGCCTCGGCACAGCGTTCTGCAAAGGCAGCATTCTCCGACAGGAAGCCGTAGCCCGGGTGCAGGGCACGGATGTTGTGCTTCTTGGCGAGGTCAATGATGCGGTCGCCGTCGAGGTACGAGCCGAGGGCGAGGCTGCGAGGCGAGGCTTTGGCGTGCTGCGCACTTGCATCCACTGCTGTGTAGAGCGTCGTCGTGGGAATGCCCATCCGCGTCGCGGTGCGGTGGATGCGCAGAGCGATCTCGCCTCGGTTGGCGATCAGGAGGGAAGGCAGAGGCGCCGCCGCGGATGGGGACGTGGATGCTCCTTCGGCCGAGGGTGTTGCAGAGCGTAATGAGGTCGAAGCAAGGTAGCGAACAGGCTGGTACCCCAGGGGCAGCCGCGTATGTGCGGCTCGTTTGAGAGGACGCATCGTATGTGGCGGTGGTGCTCGAGGAGACTTGGGAGAGACGTGGGCGAGAGTGGTATCGGTGAACGCTGGCGAAGCGTGGAGAGAGATGAGGTTTGTATGCGGAAAAAACGTGTCAGGGGCACAAAATGTCAATCCCTATATTGTTTATGGAACGGGTCGCTCTTTCTCTAATCGCCAAAATGAAATTCAGAAAATAATGTGTCTTGTGTTGACCTCGTTCGGTCGTGCCTTCCCTTTTGTTTCTTGCTCCCTTTTCTCCTCACAGACCGAGAATAGCCGCAGCAAGCCTGGGGCAGCCCAAAAACGGCAGGCGGCGGTTGTGGACGGTGCACAGGCCAATTGGGGCAGGAACAGACGTCATTAGTTTCCGTGCAAAAAAAGTACGGGGAAGGCGCCGGCGGAGGTATCGCCTCGGCTGCGAAAGTATCGGGCAACTCACGGCAGCTCAGGAAAAGAGATTTGAAAAAAATAATAGGGGAACTGTACGGACGGTTGACATGTAAAACTGAATTGACGACATCTTATCCACTCCTCTGGGCCGTTGGCCGACGTTGACGTCTTGTCGAGCGACTTTCTGGTCTACCGTAGCAATGGCTGTGGGCAATGGCTCTCCGTCGCACCTGCCCCGCCACTGGCGAACCAGCTCCTTCCCTCCCACCAAAGCCGACAACTCCACCAGCGCTGGAAGGTCCAGAACGAGCCAAAGGGCCCAAAGCTGCGTTAGCGACGTCGCCTGATGCTATCACCCTTTCTTCCTCCTCGACATTACATCGCAACCCTGACGACATCTCGACACTTGACGATCGCATACGCATCAGACCACCATGGAGCAGATACCTCTGAACCACGAAGCCTCCGACGGCGACACCAACAAGCAGACTACGGCCTCGCTGCCGACGGAAGTCGTCCAGTGTCTCGAGAATGCACGTTTTGTAAGTGGAACCGAATTGAGGACCCGACGACGGCCGCAATGGCGAGGAAAAGAAACGTGCAGGCCGCATGGACTCCCACTAACGTCACTCCAGCTCCATCTCGCTACCTGCGTCGACAACCAGCCCCATGTATCGCTCATGAACTACACCTACCTGCCCAGCGCTGCTGGCGCGCCCGACCACCCGATTGCGTCCCCCGTCATCGTCATGACCTCCAATCCGGCCAGCAAGAAGACGCACAACATCGTTGCCAACCCAAATGTCTCGCTGCTCGTCCACGACTGGGTCTCGCACCGCCCGCTGCACCGCCGCATGTCCGCAGGCAGTGCCCTCTCCGACGACGGTCCGGGCGGCGGCACCGAGGGCGGCGGCGCGACGAGTGGTGCTCTTTCTGGCGGGCTGGGCGCGCTCGGCGGCCGCGCCGCAACAGCAGAACAGCCCCCCTCCTCGCTGGCCACGCTCCTGCTCAACCTCAACACGGCCGCTGTATCGTCGATTTCGGCGACCATCAACGGCACAGCCCGTCTGCTGGCCCAAGGCTCGCCGGAAGAGGCCTACTACCGCGAGCAGCACCTGGCCTACAACAACTTTGCCGCCGACCCGGTCGGCCCGGACGAGACACGCATCCACCAGCAGATTGCGCACGGGCGTGGCTCGGCAGCGGCGCCGGCGACAGTGGCGTCCAGGGCCGACCCTCGTCCACAGGACGGGCGGGAGCGGTTTGTCGCCGGCGAAGAGGTGCGCGTGATTGTGGTGGTGATCCGGGATGTGCGCATCAGTGACTGGAAGGGCCAGGTGCGAGACTGGGTGCTGGTACCGCCAACAGCTGCTGCCGAGGCGTCACAGCCGACTATCAATGGTATTTGATTGCTCTCGGTGTCGGTTCGAGACTTCGGAAGGACGGGACTCTGTGTACGGTATAAAAAGGCAACACATAAACAATAGGGAAGAATTTCGCCATTAAATATTTCGTTGGTACGGTTAGTGAATATTTATTATTTGTATTTTACAGTGCATCACTTAAAAACCCATAATCCCACAAAATAATAAACGAATAAATCAACAAAATCAAAAAGTAATACTTTCAAATTGTATGCTCTTAATCTATGTCCATAATACAGTCCAAAACAATAGGAAACCAAACCAACCATCCGCTGGCATGGTAAACGGAGTACAAAGCGCCAGAAATACCGAAATCCGGTGCCCAAATCCCCAAGGTCAAGAAAAACAAAGCCCAAAAAGTCAGGGACGCCAACGTCGGTATAAATGCAGAGCTTGGAAGGCCAAACAAAACCATGACAATATAAAAATGAAAAAGGGAAATCATCATAGGAACACAATCGTTACAAGGGAGAGAGGTTATTGGTCATTACTTGGCCCACTCGACGACCTCGAGTGCGCATACAACGAGAATAAGCGTCGAGGGCAAGATCCAAATCACGTAGCTCTGGAAGAGGATCTGGGACATGGTCCGCTCAAAGACGGCGTTGATCTGGCAGATCTGCGCCAGCTGCAGGGCACTGGGGGCGCCCGTCAGCAGGAAGCAGACAATGACAAATATGGGGTCGTCGAGGATGGACACCGGCACGTATTTGGCAAACAGGGCCAAAATGGGAGCCATGATCAACGTGGGCAGCACCATGCGGCAGACGAGCGATGCAATGAGGAGACGCTTGCCAATCTGGGCCTCCTCCGGGTCGTGCGACGCTTGGGTTTGTGTGTTGCGTGCGAGGTTGGCGCCAAGCACCACCAAAATGAGGGGTACAGCGACACCTGCCGTCGAGGTGACTGCGCTCGTGACGCTGTTGTTGATAAACGTGCCCTCCTCGAAAAACAGACGCTTGAGTTCGGGGAACGAAGCAACAATCACAGAAATCAGCATGGCCCACAGCGGCGGGTTCATGAAATCCCACAGGAAACCCGACACCCGCGAAGCGACATGTTGAACCACGACCACGACCTTTTGCAGAGGGGTGGGCAGCGACGCATACATGCGGCTGCCACTCGCCGCCAGCCAGTTGGCAGCGCGGTGGTGGTAGATGTCGAAGCGCACCCTGACGCCCTCGAGGCCCTCGGGAATTTCAGGCTCGTTGATGTTGCGAATGCGTGGGAACGACAGAATATGGCTGTCCAGTCCAGGAACGCCGCCGTTCGCAGCAGTTAGGCCGGAAAAGTCGCTGCTGCTCACGGTGCGAATGTGCTGCTTCGAGCTGCGCTTCTTTGGCGTGCGCTTGCCTTGGCTGCCGCCGCCGTTGTCGTCTTCAGCGTCCGATGCATACGGCGAGCCACGCGACCGCGGCGCCACGGGCGTTCGTCCCGACGGAACAAAGACGTCCGAATACTCCGTGACGGGGCTGTGAGCCAAAAGATCGTCATCGTCGTCGTCATCGTCATCGTCATTCTCGTCGTTACCCTCATCGGACTGGGTAGTCACGCCCACGATGATGGGATGACTACCACCCTGAGCAGTCTCGTCGCCTTCGGGGTCGTCGCGATACCGGCCTTCCTCCGCGGCGACTTGGTTGTACTCTTCGTACTTCGACTTGGGCGCTAGCAGGACGTGGTAGCCCCAGCTCCAACGGAGCACCTGGCCCAGCTGCTGGAAGATCATCAGGTATAGAATGCCGCGTGCTGCGACTTCGTCGTCATTGTCGCGGGGCACTCTGTCCCAGTGCAGGCCTTTCAGTGTCTGGGAGAGGGAGAGGACGAGGGAGATGGGAAGCGAGTTGGAGTTGCCAAAGACCTGTGGCGAAGGAGCGACAAGTTAGCGATCGGTTTTCTGCTCGCGCAGCACATTGGAAACGAAAACAATCAACCCCCCCCCCCCCCCCAAATACCACTTACACCCATGGCAGTCACAAAGTTGGCGGCCCGTCTGTTGAAGCCAAAGAGCCTCGTCACGACTTTGGACACAATGTACGACACGGCGGTCATGACGACGAAGATGATCGGAATGATGCCGAGCTCGATGAACTTGTCGCCGTCAAGCTGAGACGCAAGTTTTGTAAAAACTGGAGGAAGACATCCGTTAGCGATGTGTGACGAGCAAAGAACAGGAAAGCGAATTCGGCAAAGCGGATTCGGCACATACTCAGACACGGCGTGAACAGCATCACGTTGAGGTTGGCAAGGAACTTTTGCTTATCGGCATCGAAGTGGCCCAGGCGCGCGATGATGTAGCCTGGCAAACTGACGCACACGACCTCCATGACGGCCTCAAAGACGAGCATGACGAGGCGGCCAAACGAAGGATGCGACTCGTGCGACTTCATGATCGCTATCGCCTGCACCTCAGAGATGCAGCCGCTTGATAAAGACTCCATGGCAGTATCAGCGGCCACTGCCTGGAGGTAAATAGATATGTTTCGACTTTTGTTTGGTTGTTCAAGACGTATGGAGAGAGGTAGAGGCGAGACGATGGATGGTTAGGATCGAGTGCGTCCACAGACGAAGAGCTGTGAAAGAAATCCGTCTGGCTGGCAAGATCAAGTCCGAGGTGTCGTGTGTCCTTTCGGGGAAGGGTTCTACCAGGGTCGACGTGAATGTCCCAAAGGGTTTGTCTAACGATTGAGACAGAAGTCTGGCTTTGTCTTTGTCAAAGAAGGTTGTAGTGGTTGGAAGGCTAGAGGGACGATGACTGAGCCCAATTTGGAGTCCCCGTCGATCTCTTGATTCGGTCGAGCCAAAAACGTGGATGGCAGCTGTCGTCTTGTGACAGATTAAAAAAGGGAAATCGATTGTGATTTTTCGTCCCACGAGAACTTTGGGGAGAGAAGATCGGAGCTGGCTGGTCTGCCCGAGGCGACGTCTGCTGCGGCCGACGCTGGTGCGTCGATGTCAAGGTGAGGCGATATCTCGCGGAAGCAAGGGAAGTAGCCCCAGTGTAACTGATAACGACAGGCGCGCCCGAAACAGGATTGACTGGTGCTAAGCACGGTTGATGACCAGTGCCAAATGGCCCTGGTCTGTGGCACTGCTCTTGGTCCTTGCACTCAAAAGGGAGTTTTATTTGAGTAGAAGCCTAGAGTATTGCGTATTCAAAATACTCGCGCGCCGCTAACGTGAATCGAGATGGCAGAGGCGATAGCGAGAAGGTGTGGATGGCGTGGATAGGTGGTGGATTGCGCGGATTGGGCGAGTAATGGCGAACAATCTAGGCATGTGGGAGGGTGCCGGGTTCAGATAAGGCGTGCATCCAGCCGCACCATACCTAGGCAAGCTAAGCTTCCAGGCCCACCTCAGCCTCTTTTTCCCTTTCTCAGTCTTTCTTGGCGGAATTGGCAAAGGTCTCCAATGGCTGTGTACTTCTGTCTCTGTGTAGGTGTGTGGAATTGCTGCTGGAGTGCTGAAAGAATTTGATTTCGCCACTAAACGACAAAAAATGCCGGTCTTTGTTGGATCTGGTAAGACTTTCGTACTTCGTATGTAGGAACTTTTGTTGGAACCGATTGAGGCAGAGTAGAGTAACCAATGGAATCAGACCAACAAACATGGAAGCGCCCAGTTGCGGTTTCGTGTTTGGGAGGGCAGCTCGCGTCACTGTGCGAACTCAGCTCAACACCAACAGCTCATGGCGAGCTGGCAAAGGGCCGAACAACAAAGCATCCGACGTTTGACACTGGCCCATGTTAAGCACTGACGAATACCAGGCAACAGCTTGACAGTGGCCTTGCCCACAATGCCGAACGACTCCGCAATCTGCCAGTCGTTGACAACAATGAGTCGGAGGTTGGGGGTAAATGATGACGCCCGAGGAATTGGGCAATCGAGAGGATGCAGAAGGATGAGGAGTGAAAAGGGGAACGAGACAATGTGAACCGCATTGGTCGAGACGACGGGGCAACAAGCACGATTGCACCTGCCCGAATATATGCAGTCCGGGAGTTTTGCGAGTGCACAGGGAAGGAGGTGATCGGGTCGAGGCAGATTGGGAAAGAGGGCTCCAGACCAGCCTATTTTTGAAACAGCGAGTGTTTTCGACGTGTTCGACATAGCAGTCACCACAGCAGTCACCACCCGCGCAGCTGCCTCTCAGCTGCCACTGCGTCAGATGTCACAGCTCAGTTGGTGTATGGCGAGAATCCTTTTCACTGGCCATCTGTGGCTGTTGTGTGTGGCTTGTATTCGCGTATGGTGCACGTTTCAAACACCACATCTGGACACGCGCTGACGCACCCGACGACGCATATGCACGTACGCACACTTTGATTTTCCAGCGTGTCCCGATATGCGAGGATTTTGTTATACGGCCAGCTCGACCAGGGGCGGCGTTGTTGCAAGTAGGACGAGGACGAAGTCACGGTATTAAAGGAAACACAGAGAGTCTGTGGTGTAATTACAACGCGAAGTATCTTGCCTGGTTGCGTGGATAGAATTTGTCCTACTATATCGTCTCAAGTCGATGTACAGCTTTTCGAACAAGAAAGGAATTGCAAAGCACGCAAGACACCCAAAGAATGGGTACAGCACAACATGAGCCAAACGATAAACATACTTCAGGGTTGTCGACTCGTGGCACACGGTAAAGGAAAAAATAAGCAAAGGTAGTCGCTGGCGGCGAAGGACTTGTTAACAAGGTGGGTCGATCATTTACGGAGGCCTCTACGATTGGGTGCGAGGGTGGTAATACATCTCCCGCAGGAGATGCCACACCGGAGGAAATCACCGGTATTGAAAATTTTCAAAAACACACCAACGGCCCGGTGGAAGACAGTTGAACAAGGACTAGCTAGGCTGGACACCGTCAGGTATGGCCACAGAGATGTGAGATGCTGGAGAGGATGCTCTCGTTGCCGCTAGGCAGCGGGAGGGCCCTCAATGTCGCCTTCGTTCGTATATACGGCACCCCGGTTAGTCGTCAGTCGCAAAGTTGACTGCTAGACAACACACACGAGCCGTTTTTCACCTTGCAGGCTTTACATCGTAATGTAGAGCTCTGATGCGTTGTGGAATCCAAAAATATCACAGACTGTGACAGTGAGGAACCAAAAACCGGTTACGAGCGTCCTGGTAAGCCAAACCACCTGCTTTTGGTTAGGCCCGCAAGGGCATTGATGTAGGTTTTGTTGGCAGTCAGGCCGTGGGGAATCATGGCTTCTTGGGCCGAATCACCTCCACAGAGAGGCCCTTGTCCCTGACTCCATCCTTCCTGTCGCGTGGGGAGGCAGATAAAAAGGAAACAGATGACCTGCCAGTGAATATTTGCCTCTTGGTGGGCCAGCATGCAAAGGATGCACATTCGGCGTGGAAGGGACAAAAGGAGGCAATGCAATGGGACCCTGAAACGGCGTGCATGCAAATCGGCCGACAGAGGCGAAATTGAGCATCATCGACCAGGTGAAGGTGGTCAAGGATGATGGGACGCGAGGCGAGTGCTAATGCGTACGTGTGTGTCTGACGATCTGAGTCTGGGGTATCCGAGAACATCGACTTTACTCTGTAGTCTGTCTGACATCGACGAGCGAACCAAAAAATCGTCAATCAAAATTATGTGTGAGTGTGACGAAAACCCAATGCAGCTAAATGGCATCTTCCGTCATAGACATGCTAGTCGGGGTAGGGGGGCGTGCCGAATATGCACTGCAAACGCCATGAAGCAGAAAATCAAGATTCTGGATCGTCGTCACGTCCCGAAAATAGACACCCTTCACACGGCATACTTCGGTATTCTCGAGAAACATATACGACTTACAGCGAAAGCACAGAGATTCTCTTCTGAAACGTCTCCCGAGCGGGTCGCCCAACCACGCCGTTGTGATCAACGTCATTGACCGCCCATCCTGCATGTCCTCCAGCCGTCTTTTACCTGTTTCGCCTACTCGACGCAGCGTTTCCCTGGCCCCAGGCCAGACCACACCCCATTTGGGACTCGTGCGTGCCTTTGGTGCGCTCGTGCGGTGGGCAGGGGCGAGGATGATTGGGCTCCGTTGTTCTGCATGGCACGCTGCTGTACAATGGCATGGTAAGATGCTGCAACGGCAGACGACGGGGCCTGGCCGTGACTGGACCTTTCGCTGAACGTTTCGCTGGTGCTCTCTTCGATCTTTCTAGTGGAGGCCGAGAGAAAGACTCCTTGGAGAATAATTCGTGATTGTGGCTGATTTTTGTTGGCGTCTATGACAGCGGCAGTGGAAAGCAACAGAACAAAAAAAGAAGGAAAGAGCGAATTAGACAACGACGGAACAACGATATATGCCCTACTTGTTAAGCTACCGTAGAGAAGCTAGCAGACATAGACATATGTAGAAGAACGCTGCATTAAATGCATTTGATAGGCACACGAAGCAGCACACTTTGGTTCCTGAATTTTCATGGAAAAGAGAGCATCAACTAACAGCATTCCGCTTATCGTCCGCCACTAACAGCCTGCTAGTGTGTGACAGTCGCGGAAGTGGCTAGGGGTGGCGGCTTTCAGGCCCCCATCACATCTCTTAAGAGGGAGAGTCTCTTGCGCGGCGACATTTGGGTTGGGTCCACCTAAAGCTTTTCCTGGGCTCCTGCCGCCTGTAACAGAGCTAAATGCGAGACGCCATAGATGGGAAGAACCAACGAGGCACCGAGGCCTAGCCTGGAACGGACACTTAGTGGCTAGGGCAGGCCGAGGGGCAAAATGCGAGTGCCTGTGGTGTGTTGGTGTGAGCGAGAGAAGGCAGAGAGGGCAGGCCAAAACGAATGCGATTGTCTCGACCTGCGACGGAGTTTTGATGACACGGAAGCGATCGACTCTGGTGCCAACCAAGCGCGCACGACAGTGTTTTCTCTCTAGACCCCTCTTTTTGTGTCTCCTGTGTGGCTTTGTCGCTCCTTCCTAGATTTTGTTTCTTCTGCTGTCTTTTTATTCTCTCTTTTTTTTCTCGTTTAGTTATATTCCCTTTTTTGCTCTTGCATTTTATGGATGGCGACGCGGCCCATCCAAGGCAGGAACGAACAAGAATCGTCAATTGTGTTGCTCCAACGCGGGCGCTCTTGCCACCCCGTCCTGTAGTAATAAACTACCCAATACGTCGTTTCCCACACCTCTTGCCTCACAGACACACAGAGCATTTCCATGTCCGTGGTCGCTCTTCCTCCGTCCAGTCTAAATAAGCCTGTGACGGTCCCCATATCACCATATACATATCCACAGCGGTCCTGCCTTTTCCAAGCACTTCTTATTCCCATCCCTCTCTTGCCGTCTTCTCACTTCCTCACTCTCCTCATGCACACTCTTTTGTTTCGTTTTGCATCCTCAATCGTCACCCGACAAGCAACAAGCAACCGTGCTTTAACTGCGTTGATCCTGGCAGTGCTTGTCTCTTCCTCAGAACGTTGACACAGGACTCAA